TTGTCTTTCATGCTGCCGACTTATTTATATGCCTAAATATTCCTAGTTGCCCATTTATATCAATAAAAACATTTGGGTTTCTCCTGATTTGCCTAAATAGGACCATTTTCACACTAAGTGGGAAATTTGTAGCAAGGTTAGGGAGAAGTCTATCAATTTGTAAGTAAATGGATGTCAGGTTGCAGTCTCACCCCACAACACTGAATGCCATAATGGAGCAGGTTTTTCTGGAACACCAATATCTATACTAGACATCTTAGCTTTCAGTCTATTAGTCTGTGAACAAATATTGACAGAGCACCTACTATCATCCAAGTATTCTTGCAAATTCTGAGGATAAAGTGGAAAATAAGGCACATGCAGTTCTGCCCTCAAGGAGCTTACATTTAGCATTTCTATGAAATTTGTTCAATTTCTTTAGGGAAGAGCTATTTGAGATTTTGCTAGGGAGATTAGGCAGTAAATGTCCAAATGTCTATGCTCTATAATCTAAAGTGGAGGAGGGAGATGGGAATGACGACTGAAATAGAGTCCCTTATAAAAATCTTCAATTATGGTTCCTGTTTACAGCCCCACTTCTCATTCACACCTGCATTTTACCTGCTAATTCTTAGTCCAGCCCTTCTCCAGGTTCTGATGGTCAGAACTGCCTTCACCTCTGCTGTGCCCTCATAACACATTCCAGGCTGTGCCTTTCTCTACTTGTTTGAGTCATTGACTTTCCACCACCCACTTTCCATTTTCCATAAATTTATTGAGATATCTCACTCAGTTATGATTCTCCTCCAGTTCTGTTCATAATTCCAGGGGTTTGTTTTTTTTCTTTTTGCATATCAATACTTTTATTTTAGAGGATCCCAAGAGAGACATTAAGAATACACATTTGCATCAGATGAGTGGATATGGAAAATGTGGTTAATCTACACAATGGAATACTACTCTGCTATAAAAAAGAATGAAATACTGCCATTTGCAACGACATGGATGGACCTAGAGAGAATTATATTAAGTGAAACAAGTCAGGCACATAGAGAGAAACATCACATGTTCTCACTTATTTGTGGGAGCTAAAAATAAATAAATACACAAAAAAACAGGGTAGGGGGAGGGAAGAAGACACAACAATTACAATTCCTTAAAGTTGATATGGCAAGTGAACAGAAAGGACATTGCTGAGAGGGAGGGGGGAGGGAGGTTTCAGTAATGGGCCGCAATAATCAACCACATTGTATATTGACAAAATAAAATAAAATTTGGAAGAAAAAAAAAAGAATACACATTTGCTTAGTCCATCATCATCTTGAACAAACTCCTATTAACTTTACAATAAGTAAAAAAGATAATGAAAAAATAAATAGAAGCTGAAGCCCTCTTTTTTGCTTGCCAAGTTCTCCAGTATTTTAATCATTTAAAATTGTTTTATTAGCCATTCTTTTCCAAAGTAGGTATGATACTGGTTTTATTTAAAGCCCCCGTTCAAGACTTCAATTACAAACTTTGAAGAGTAATAGGCTCTTAAAGATTGTTCAATATTAATCAACTTCTTTTCATTGTGCACTCTCTCTCTCTCTCTCTCTCTCTCTCTTCCTCTCTCTCTCCCTCTGTCTCTCTCTCCCTCCCTCCTGTACTACCCTCACACAAAATTAGAAGGGAAAGAACATCACAGAGGAACCGATAGAAGGATCTGTTCAGAAGGAGAAGAAAGGGCAATCAGCGTCTTCTCTTTGGTAGTGATAGAGTTGTTTGTGTCTTACTGTACAGCAGTCTAAATACTTTTTTAAGCACTAGATACAGAGCAATCTCTTTTCTCTTTCTGCCATCCCTCTGAGTCACTACCCACCCAGAGTATAGGTATTAATTAAACAATCTTGAGTAAGCACTAAAAAAGTAGGAGTGCCTGCAAAAGGGTTTGAGGGAGCCCATATATTGTTAAGAAACAAGGCAAAAGCCAACCTTGACTTTTTTTCTGGGGAGTGGGGGGCCGGGGAAAGCAGCTGGCCAGTCAGGGATCAAACCCTGGACCTTGGTGTTATCAGCACCATGCTCTAACCGACTAAGCTAAACCAAAAGCATGACGTTCTAAATAGAAACTATAATAAAACCATAGGTATTTAAAGTTGGAAGAGTTCTGTGCCCTTCACTGTAAGCCACTCCTGTCTTATCTCTTCCAGTGGTGGGACTCCTCCTGTAACTCAGCCAATAGTAATGATTCAGCCTCCATCCGAACAGTTCTAGTGACAGAGACCCCAATGCTTAGGAGCAGCCCGTATCATTGTCAGACAACTGTACTCCTTAGAAAGTTCTCAACAAAAACAAGAGCCTGCTTTTTAGAAAGTTTCAACCATTGATTCCAGCTGTATTCTCTGGCATTACACAGAATAAGGAACTCAGGGTAATAGAAGGACTGCTATTGAGGCATTTCAATTCTGAATCCTGGCTCTGCCATTTACTAGACAGATACATGTTCACAGGTAAATTGCTCAACGCCTAAGAGCCTTACCTTCCTTGTGTTTTAAAAGGGGATAATAACTACCTGAAAGAACTGTGAGGATTAAGATAGCCCATATAAAGCTCCTGACATATCATGTGTTCAAATAACATTAGTTTATATCTCTTCCACACTCATGAAGACACTTCAAATATTCAAAGACAGTTGTTCTGCCTCCCCTAAGTCTTTCTTTCCAGTCCAGCCTTGAACATATGCAGTTTTCTTCAACCACTTCTCATGAGACTGGCCCGTGAGCTTCCGAGCAGGGAGACATAACTTACTCAACTCTAAATACCCCAGTGCCTGGCATAGTGTTTGAGAAATAGTTGGTATTCAGAGGATGTTAACTAATCAGAATTAAGACAACCTTCACATGACAATCCTAATTCTCAGGAGAAGGCTTCCCCCTTTTGGGGGGATGCTGAGAAATTGTTTATAAGTGTAAACTATCATCGTGGATTTTTTTCCCCAACTTCCAGTTTCCTTGTACTTCCCTGGATTATCAGGAAACTCAGAACGAGGTTTTTGCTTAATAGCAATGCTTCCCTTAGCCTCAGTTTTCTCATCTAATCCCCCCCCATTCTCGACACTTTATTAACTTGGACTTTGTCTTTTACACTTGTTTTCATGCATCTATTGTGTATTTCTTACATCCTTTGAAAAAAGGAGGAAGGATGTTTTAAAACGTACCCTATTTTCTTTTTAAATCTCTAAGAAAACAAATGAATCTAATTGTCTTGTTAGTGACATATTCGCTACTAAGAGGACCTACTAGATCTAGGAGGTAGTAAAAAATATTTGCCAGTTCAGTATCTCACTTTTGTGCTCAGCTTGATGATTTATTTCCACGTTTCCCTTTCCCCTATATGGAGAGAACACAGTAATATGGATGCTCACTTCTAAGCTCCTCAGATTATAAAGATGCCTTTAAAAAACAGATATCAATTGCATTTTTAAAATAGCACATCTTAGGTAAACAAGGTTCTGCACACCCATCAAGAGATCTCTTCTTCCTAACTCTGCCTCTGGGCAAGGACAGCAGAGCATTGAAACATCTAAATCAACTGGTATCTCCACTTTTGTCACATGGCTAAATGGGGCCTTTATTTTTAAACACATGATTGACACCCATCTCTCAGAGTTGGGTTAAATACAGGCCATGCTGTGGGCAGAGAGAGGAATCAGATGACTCCTGAGGTCCCTGCCAGCCCTATGATTTCTCAAACAGAAATGTAATTGTGTCCTTAGATTAAAAAAGAAAAAAAAAAAGCCAACAGCATCTTGAAGATTCCTCAAAACTATAACGTACAAAAGTCAGTAAGCTATAACCCGCAAAAGTCAGTAAGTAAAACAAGAAACCCCTTCCCCTTCCTTGAGTCTGAAGCCAAGAAGCTTAACTGAAGCCCCCTAAAGAAGGAAAATAAAAATAAGATAAGCTGACAGCAGAGAGGGAGGGGAGACTGGATTTGGCGGTGATGAACCAGGTCATTAGACCTGGAGGGAGTCTCCTTCCCAACTTTGCAATTAGGGACTCAATAAAAGGTTCCAGCGCCTACTGTCGTCTCACAGCCTGCTGCCCCACATTCTACTTGCTCTTACTCGTGAACAAGGTAAGTCTCACAGATTATCTGCTTGAGCATACTTAAGGTCTCACCTGCTGCTTTGTTTATATGAAATTGTGTTAGGATTTCAGAGGAAACATACTCTAAGTCGACCCCTATTAATAATACTAAACTGGGAGCTCCAGCCACCTAAATGCATTCCTTGCTTATGGAATTTCCTTCATCTTTTTCTTTTAAAAAATATATATAAATTGTTTGTATAATATAGACATGAGTACTATTTAACAAGACATGGGACTCAGATCTATAATAAAATGAAAAGGTAGAGTCATTTAAATGATGAGCAACGACTGAGGGGCTGGGACTCAATTTGTTTTACCAGTGAGTTCACATGAAACCATGTCTTCTCGGTAAAAACATGTTGCTTCTGCCTGCAAACATAGGGATTGATTTTCTTGGCATTGCTTCTCTTTCCTCTAGAAGCTTTACTAACTTTAAAATTATACTTTCCTAAGCAGAAGAGACTAAACTGGGCCGAGGGGGAAGGAAAGCAGGTGGACACTTTCAGATGAGGCTGGAAGGACCGGTCCCACTCTGTCAGCGCCATTTGTGCCTTTCAATGTTTATGTTTGAGTTCTTTCTTCACCCTCCTTTTGCAAGGAAGCTTTCTCTGAACACATGAGTGTTGCTATTTACTGCAGGGTGGGATAAAGTGTTCCTTCTAATACCTACCTGTGCTAGATCTAATCTCACCACAACGTCTGGTGTCAAATCAAATCACCTCTGGAGTTCAGATGCATTATTCTAAGATACAGAATAGAGAGGTGATGCAAGGGAATCTGAGGGAGGAACAGAAAGAAGGACGACCTTGGTATCCCCTTCCTGAAGGACCCATCCCAGAAACTGGGCTTTTCTTGTTCTTTCTCACAGTCTCTCCTGAGTTTGTAAAGATGCCTCGTCTCCTGAGAGATGCCTTCTGTGTGATTGAGACATTTCACAAGTATGCCAGTGAGGACAGTGACGGGGCGCTGCTGACTTGCAGGGAGCTGAGACAACTCCTCCATGAAGAATTTGGGGACTTTCTTCAGGTGAGCTGCTCACAGAGCTGTAAAATTCTTCCCCAACTGCCCTTTCTTTATAATCTGAGCAAAATGGGCATAAGTGATGGTTGCGCATTTTACACTTGGCTACCAGTCTCGGCACTCACTGACTTTTGAACAACTTCTTTCAGTCTCAGTTCCCTACTCTGTGCAATTGCTTAGTCGATCCTTTAGGAAAAAGTGAGGTTTTTTAATCACTGGGACTTTTGCTTCAGCAAAGTAGACTTCTGAGAGTAGTCACAAACCATTACGCATATACATGCAACTCAGAAGTGATGTAAATGCCCCTTCTCAGTCATAGCTCTTTATGAAAAATGGCATCCAGAACCAATGAGTTCTTACTGTTTGGGCAAATTTCACCAGTTTCTGAGGAATTAAGTCAAGAAAAGAGGATTTAGGGGACACATGCAGACACTCAGGACACTTGACCACTTATGAATAAGCTGAATTCTCACTGTGTTTTTATGCAGCCACGTATCACTCATGCTGTGGAGAGAAACTTGAATCTTCTGGGTATTGACAGTGATGGCACCATCAGTTTTGACGAATTTGTTCTTGCAATCTTCAACTTGTTGAATCTCTGTTATCTTGATGTACAATCATTACTGAGTTCAGAACCAAGACAAGTGTCTAAACCAGACAAGGGGAAGCCATATGGTGTAGATCTTCAGGCGACCACCAGAAATGCTCAGCAGACAGCAGGAACTCCATCAACTCAAAAAAAGTTAGTGCTCCCTTCAGGAATAGCATCATCATCTGAGCTCATCCATGGAGAGAGTGGAGCAGTTAGACACAATAAGGTGAACCCATGGGGAGATGCCAAGACTCACAACCCTCCAGAAGAAGCATCTGAGCACAAGGACCCTAAGAACCAACACCTGGAAGGAGATAAACAGAGCCAGGAAGTGGTCCAACATGTACCAGCCACAGAAGAAAATGAGGCCCAACTTAAGATAAATAAGCCAATGGCAGGATCAGAACAGACCAGCAGTCCCACAAGGGGAGAGGGACAGGACAAGGAGATCCCCAGGAAGGGAGATAAACCAGCCACAGAACAAAGTGGCACCAAGACAAGGGATCAGTTTGGGGAAAAGGAAGGAAGCTTTGGAACCCAAAGTTCTCCACCAGAAGAAACAACACAGAGACCATCTGAAGATCAGGAAGTTGCAGCAAAAAGGGTTGTTAAGAAACATACTAAAACACAAGAACCACCCCTGCAAGGAGAAGATGAACCCATTTCAGAGCACGCTGACCTGCCAGAACAAGCTACTGCTAGGAAACCATCTCGCACTCAGAGATCAACTGATCCTGAGAATGGCAGTAGAACATCTGAGACTCAGGAACCAGGAAAGGATGCTGAGAGGATACGACCTGAGACAAAGAATTCAGATGGACCTGAAGATCACGGTAAAACATCTGACACCCAAGAATCACCAGCACAAGAAAAAGAATGTGAAGCCAAAGGCTCTCCAGCCCAATATGGTAGCACAGATGGTTCAGAAACACCTGATGTTAGAGCTGAAAGGAAAGAGGGGAGAGGCTCTGAGGCCCATGGAACAGCAGGGCAGAAAGAAAGTGAGAGAAAAATTCAACCACCAGCCTTGGAAGCCCAAACACATGATAGGAAGTATCAGCAACTCCAGGGATCACCAAAGGAAAAAGACACTGAAAAGGGTTCTGAGACACAATATCTAAGCTCAGAAGGCAATCAGAATCACCCTGAAACTGAAGGATCAGCAGTCTCAGGAGAAGAGGCAAGACAGGCTGAGGAAGGCACAGCAGAAGCATTTGTGAACAGCAACAATGGCTCCGCAGCAGAAGGAACACCAGGAGCAAGAGAAAGAACACAAGAATCAGCATCACTTGAGAACCAGTCAGAAGGAGAAAGTAATGGGGTCACCAAGCCAATCAAGGAGGATGATGGTCACCAGGGGGAGGGTCCTGAGTCATCAGTCACACAGAATGATGAGGGGTCTTCTGAAACTTCCAACAGCCTGGCTCCAGAGGAAGATAACAGCAGCTCAGAGACAGGTGAACTGCCTGTGCGAGGAGGTCATAATAATAACCCCAAGGAGGATGATGGTCACCAGGGGGAGGGTCCTGAGTCATCAGTCACACAGAATGATGAGGGTTCTTCTGAAACTTCCAACAGCCTGGCTCCAGAGGAAGATAACAGCAGCTCAGAGACAGGTGAACTGCCTGTGCGAGGAGGTCATAATAATAACCCCGATACACAGAAACAGGGAGCACCAGGTGAGAAAAACAGAGCTCGGGAGGCAGTGGTGCGGGCAGTCCAAGGAGAGGATGTGCAGCTCACAGAGGAACAGGAACAGCCTACCAGAGGAAAACACAAGAGTCACAGCTCAGGGACCAAAGGCCCAGGTGCAGCTGCAGAGCCCAGTGGATACCTGGAGGCACAGGAGTACACAGCAGGAGGCAAAATGAGAAAGTCTTCAGGCACAGAGATCCTGGGAACCTTGGATGCAGACTTCACTGGCTACATATCCACAACACAGCTCCCTGAAAAGGGAGACAGCAGGAAAGAGCTAAGGGGCCTGAGTACCAAAGAAGAGGAAGGTGAAACATCAGAGACCCGGGATACTCTGTTAAAAAGTCTGGATGAGGACAATTCAGCCTTCCCCAAGACATACCTTGAAACAGAGGAACCTGTAACATTGGAGGAGGAGGATGAAGGTCCTCAAGAGCTGGCAAAAGAAGGTGATGACCAACAAAGTCCCACCAAGAAAGAGTACCGCTCCTCAGTCCCCTGGTCAGGCCTTGAAGAGAGGATGCAGAGATACTGAGAGCCCTATGCTGTGGAGAGGGGTGCCTTCCATTACAGTCCACGATACGAGTACCAACAGGAGAAGATACTGCAGAAAACAAACACAATCCAAGAGGAGCATCAAAATCAATCTCAGACAGCACAGGCATCAGGGCCAGACTTTGCAAAGACCAATCAAGAGCATCCCTCACCAACGAGATCTCAGGTTGTCCTGCCTTTTTCAACCACAGCCAAGCATCTCAACAGTACACCAGGGAACTTCTGCCTGATGAAGATCCTGCTGATCCACAGCAAATATCAGCAAACATCAGCTCCCCAGGCCTTGGAAGATAAGCAGAGTCACCCTTAGAGAGAGGAAACAGTACCAAAATTGGAAGCAAGCATCACAAAGCAGTGAATCATTATCTTTATCAAGGAGAAGTTATGAAGAATGTCATACATCTCAACATGCCCCAGACTTTTTCCCTCACAATCACCCTCAACACTAATGCACTCACATTCAGATGCAGCTTAATAATCATTTAAATTCCCTTCCTAAATTCCTGCAAGAGCAAATAATAAAGTATACAGCAGTGGGAGCCACCATCAAAGAAACATCTGACCAAACAAATAAAATCAGTGAAAATCCTACCATACTATGCTACTTTCAAGTGCCAAACTGGACTTTCTCATGAGACAATTTATCTCAATCTACCCATCACTGAAAATAGAAAAATCCCATCCATATCTTTAGCAGTGCCAATTTCTTCAATCTATTTATTGACTTTTTAAAATGTAGTTTTAGGAAGTTATGAGTCTCTGCAATGATATGTTATAATCATAAAAAATTAATTCATAGATGCAAATTATTCTGCTTCATGACATTTCCTAGAGGAATTTCAATTTTATCCTAAAATTTTATCCCTCAAAATAATTTGAGATACCACCATAGCTTAAAGTAATTATGATTTTCTAGCACCTGATTAAAGTAAATCTATGACTCTTTGCCCATGTCCAGGTGCAGCTGAATCTATGCCATTCGTTTATTTATTCATTCAACAAACTTTTATGAAATCCCACTCCTTACACAACCCATTTATAGCTTCTGACTGAAATAAGTAATCAGAATAATTATGAGAAAGAGAGATTACAAATCCAAAGTATGCTTGATACCATAGGAAGCTCTTGTAACCAACCATCCACTGAGCCTACTAGCTTACCCGTATGCTTTACTAAGCACATTGAATTAAAATTAATAATTAAATAACCTGATGATCAATTTATTTTGTTTGTTCATTTTTTTCCTTCATTCTCCACCTTACCTTGAAGACACTGACCAGAAACAAAAACAATCTTAGTTATTTATGTTTTTTCAAAAGACCATAATTAAAGAAGGATGCTCTCAGAGCTTAGTAATGACCCAGGAAAGGAATACAATAGCTATCATATAGTGCTTTCTGAAGCCAAAAAGCAGTCCAATACCTCATCTCCCATTGCATTCTGCCTTCACGGTTCCAAATTCTTTCACTTTGACTTACACCTCTTCCAGAACCTAAAATCCAAGCATATACCCTCCTCCTCCAACATTTTCAGCTCTTTTCATTCTACCTTCAAACATGGATAAATATCCTTATCTGAAAAATATTCTCTTAAATGAGTAAGAGACACGAGACAATTCACTATACACACACACACACACACACACACACACACATATGTATGTATGTATATACTAGAAAATAAACTAATCGGCCCTTTTGCTTTTGTTTCTTTTTATTATTTTAATATTGATTATACATATTTTGGAAGTTCAATGGTGAGATATGTTGATCGAATCAATATTACTAGCATATATATTGTCACAAATTGTACTTATTCTTTATGCCCCTTGTCCAACCTCTCCCCATCCCCCCTCTCTCTCCCCCTCCCCCCTCTAATTACGCTATATTTCTTCTCTCCCTCTGAAAGAATGATGGTTACTCTGTTGATTTGTTGCCTAGATGATCTCTCCAATCTGAGAGGTGTATTCAGGTCCCCCAATATTATCATAGAGCAGATGCTTCTCCTGTCACTCAGGAATGGGCTTTGAGAAGAGAGACATCCTCTTCCTTTCTTTGGTCTCTGCTGGTGACTCCCTTTGCGTCAATGCACTCCCGTGGGTGGTGGACCATCTGTGTGGTTGTTGTGGCATCTAGCCACTTTCACAGCAGCTGTGGTTATTGTGGGGGCTGTGGTGGGCCACCCACATGGAAATGATGTTTTTGGCATGCTCCTTGGCGCTGGCAGTGTGCCTGGTTGTGGGAGGGGGGGGTCTGGTCCCTGGATACATGCCTCAGGTCCCCAGGCAGCCCCAAGGCACTGGCGGTGTTCCTGGGCAGGAACAGCCTCTGAGTGGCTCCCTTTTTTCAGCTGTTCTGGCTCCTCGCTCCTATGTGGGTCCACAGGAACCCTATTAGTGGTCTTGCTGTTCTTGGGGCCACCAAGGCTCTCTTCTCCCCTGCCACCTCCAAGCAACTCCATCTGAAGGGCACAGCTGTGGCTTTTGCTGGCTCTTGCTCCATGCACACAGCAACTCCAGCCTTAAAGCAGCCGTGACACGAAATGGTCAGAGTGGTTTTTTCTTTCTCTCATCGTGGCTTCTCCCACCTTCATGCACCCTGTGGGTCTTTCCTCCTCTTCCCCTGATCTTTAGCAGACCCAGCTTTTTTAGAGTTGAAAATTGGTTGATTTGTGGGAGACAGTGATGCTGGGGACTGTCTATTCTGCCATCTTGAGCCCTTTTGCTCTTGGCAAACGATTTGGCAGTATGTATCTGGGTCCATAAAAATGACAAAGTTCATGAATAATAAATTCACAGGAGAAACTATACAGATGGACAATAAACATATGAAATCCTCACTAGACTTCAAGGAAATACAATTACAAATAGTTTTTTCACTTATCAAATTAGTAAAAGTTTTTTGTTTGTTGGTTTGTTTTTAATAATCACACAATGAGGTTGAAAGTGTGGGGAACCAGGAACTCTCAAATACAGCTGATAGGAGTATAAATTAGTACAATCTTCCTGGAAGGCAATTAAATAACATGCATCAAAATTGTATAATAAATAAAATAAAATAAAAGTAAAAATAAATGCAAAAAAACTTAAAATATTTTTCAAATAGTATTATAAGGGAATAATCAGGACGTGTATAAAGATTCATCTACAAAGATAGTCAACATATTAAAAAATAGCAAAAACCAGAAATAACCTAACTGTCCATCATTACAGGAATGGTTAACTAAATTATGGTTACTAGATAACGTGGAATGCCAAAAAACATTAGAAATCATGAGATAGAATATTATTTAGTTAAATGAGGAAGGATTTATAAGATACTAAGCTTCAAATGATCATAAAATGGTATATAAAGTATGATCCCACTTAAATATTAATGGATAAACAGAGTATGAGACCAAAATCTTAACAGTAGTTATCTCTAGTTAGAGCAACTGTAAATGACATTTGCTTCCTGTTTTGAAATTTTCTTCATTTTCTAAATTTTCTACAATGAAGATGTGATACATTTGCAATTAGAAAAACAAAAATTGCTATTTTTAACAAATAATTAAAAACGTGTGACTCTAATCTCAAGAAATAATCTAAAGTGTACGGTCAGATTTGAACAAGATGAATTGAGACTCATCAGTGTAGAAGATAAAATAGTAACTTGGACCAAGAATGGGTTCTCCGAGGGACAAAGTCCATAAAAAGAGCCCTTGGAAAAGGCCCACAGTCTTGGGGACTGGATGAGAAGAATTCACAAAGGAGGTGGGGAAAGACCAACGAAGGAAGTATTTCAGGAAGAGCAGTCATCAGTGTCAGCTGCCACAGAGAGGTCCAAAAACATGGAGGTTAGAGGTCTTTAGGCTTGTCAGATGGGGGCAATGTTACTGTCATAGGTAGAATTTTTGAAGGATGGTGACAAAAGCAAATCCTCGCTATCACCCCGAGACTGTCAACCACTCCCCAATAAGCTGGCTTGTCTTCTCAATTCCCTTTTTCCTGTCATTCTCTTAATCCCTATTCTATCAGGCTTCAAAGGCACAAACTTTGGAATCACGATTTACCTTATCTTTTATTCTTCATATCTAATCCACTAGAGAATCTCAATAGAGCGTTCCTTAAGTCTGTCTTCCAGGTCCATCTTTAAATCTCCACTCCCTGTAAGACCTCATGGAAACTTCACCTAAAATAATATCTCTCCCTCCCCGCAACTGGATGTTGAAATCCTGCCCATCCTATGGGATCCAACTCCAATGCCACTTTATCCATTCATTCTAAAAATGATTTTGAAAACCCATGTTCGTGCCAGATACTGGGCGAGGCATTAGGGAGACAGCAGTGACCAAAACAAGTAAGTATTCTTCCATCTCAAAGCTTATATTCTAATGAGGGAGGGAGAGACAGACAACAAACAAGAACCACAGTAAGTAAACAAGATAAGTGCAGGCACTAAGGCCAGGTGACATGGTGGAGAGGAGGCGGGGAGCAGGTAGGAAGAGCAGGCAGAAGCGCTGCCCTAGACCCTGCTGTAGCCCTTCCCCACACCCCCAGCCACAACAGATCTTATCCTCTCCTGAACTTCATAGTCTTTACTTGTTCCTCCTTTTTAACTTTCTTCCTTGAATTGTAATTATTTGTTCGCTTGTCTCAGCTCTCCTCTCAGACTATGAACTCCTTGATGTCAAGGTTCACAAGGTACACATCTTGCTATCCTTCATTAGCATGGAGTTTAGCACTGGATGCATAGTATGGTTTCAATAAATGTTTGTTGAATAAGTAAATGAATGCCTGTGTCATTGCAACAGCCTCTTAGCTGATCCCCCTGCTTCCAGACAATTCTCCATTCAATCACTCATGAATTTTGCAAAAATTGTTTGCAAAACTGTTGTTGAAAAACTGTTTTCATCTCATCACCTACCTCCCTTCAAGACCTCTCAGTACTACCTTATACTTTCCTATGTACCACATCAAGTATAAACTGATAAAACTCTATAATCTAACCCTGTAATTAAAATTTACCAGTAGTTTCAGTAGAAATCTTGCTGAAAGCATCAGGTTGATTATCTGATTGTCTTTTGACCCTTACCTTGATCATTTACATCTTATTCTACTAAATTTATAGGGACATTGTTGGGATTCGATTCATTTATTCATTTCATTTAAACATATTTGTTAAGTACTGACTATATGCCAGGTGCTGTGGTGAACACTGAACATGCCCAAGTGAATGGAACAGTCATGGCCCCGACTCTCATGAAGGATATAGTCCTGCATAAGACAACTGGAAAGTCCTGAAAAAAAAACTAAAAAAAAAAAAAAAAAAGTCCTTTAAAGGCAAGTTGTTAGTTGTATTATTACTTCTATCTCCACAC